AGCGCACCCGGAAGACCACCGGGAGCCAGTGCAGCTCGTGCAGGAGAGGTGTCACATGGGAGCGCCCCGTGGCTCCCATAATCCCCTGCATTCTGGACCAGCTGGAGCCTCCGGGTGCACCCCAAGGGGAGCCCCATGTAGAGAGCATTGCAGTAGTCCAAGCGGGAAGTGATGAGTGCCTGAGTAACCATGCGTAGGGAGTCCCGATCCAGAAAGGGACGCAACTGGCGTATCAGGCGAAAAAAAAAATAAAAAGCTGAATAAAAAGCCCCCTGGCCACGGCCATCATATGCTCTTCTAAAGACAGCCGGGCATCCAGGAGGATGCCCAAGTTGCGAGCCCTCTCCATGGGGGCCAATGATTCACCCCGATAACCAGCAATGGCACAGCTGGCTATATCGGGACGCCGGAAGCCACAGCCACTCGGTCTCAGAAGGGTTGAGTCGAAGCCTGTTTCTCCCCATCCAGGCCTGCATGGCCTCCAGGTACCGGGACATTGTTGGGGTGGCCTGGGGTGGAGATGTACAGCTGGGTGTCATCAGCGTACTGATGGAACTCCACCCCAAAGCCACGGATGATGTCACCCAGTGGCTTTACATAAATGTTGAACAGAAGGGGCGAGATGACTGACCCTTGCGGCATCCCACAAACAAGGCGCCTCGGGATCGACCGCTGCCCCCTGCCAACACAGATTGCAACCGGTCAGAGAGGTAGGAGGAGAACCTACAAAACGGTGCCCCCCACCCCCAACCCCTCCAACCGGCGCAACATGATACCATGGTCGATGGTATCAAAAGCCGCTGAGAGACCTAAAAGGACTAGGATAGAGGAGAAACCCCTATCCCGAGCCCTCCAGAGATCATCCACCAATGCAACCAATGCCGTTTCTGTGCTGTGCCCAGGCCTGAAGCCGGACTGGAATGGATCTAGATAGACAGCTTCATCCAGGTACTGTGGAAGCTGCCGCGTCACCATACTCTCAACAACCTTCGCAATAAAATGAAGGTTGGAGACTGGACGATAGTTAGCCAAAACAGCCGGATCCAGAGAGGGCTTCTTGAGGAGGGGCCTCACCACCGCTTCTTTCAAGGCAGCCGGCAGGACACCCTCACTCAAAGAAGCATTAATAATCCTCTGGAGCCAGCCTCGTGTACCCTCCCGGGAAGCCAGCACCAACCAGGAGGGACACGGGTCCAATAAACATGTGGTCGCGTTCAGCCATCCCAGAATCCTGTCCACATCCTCGGGAGCCACAGGATCAAACTCCTCCCAGATAACACTCTCAAGACATGTCTCAATCATCCCGTCCAGACTTACCCAGTCAGAGGCCAGGCCTTCCTGAATCTGAGCGATTTTATCATACAGATACTGCACAAAATCCTCAGCTCGACCCTGCAAGGGATCATCCCACGCTCCCAGATGGAGGAGGGAGCGGGTCACCCTAAACAGGGCGGCTGGGCGATTATCTGATGACGCAATAAGAGCGGCAAAATAGCTAGATTTTGCTGCTTTTATCGCCACTAGGTAGGTCTTAATATGAGACCTCACCAGTGTTCGGTTGGATTCGGAATGGCTGGTCCTCCAACCGCTCTCCAGGCGCCTTTTCCGGCACTTCATCTCCCTCAGCCCCTCCTCAGAGAACCAAGGAGCTAGGTGAGTTCAATTGCTGGGTCAGAGGCCGCAAAGACATGAGTCATGAGCCAGAGTCTCACGAAATGGCCCAAGCTCCATCTGGAACCTATCAGGATCCATCAGGCACCTGGGGCGGAACCACCTAGTCGGTCCCGCCTCCCTGCGGTGGGGTGTAGCAGTTAGAAAGTCAAGTCGAAGGAGCGAGTGGTCAGACCATGACAAGAGTTTGATGACTATATCCCCTGTATCAAGGCCACTCAATCACTGACCAGAGATAAAAACTAAGTCCAGAGTGTGCCCGCCCGTGTGAGTAGGGCCATGAATTAACTGAGTCAGGTCCATGGCCGTCATGGAAGCCATGAACTCCCAAGCCACCTCAGATGTTTCACCGATGGATGGCAGGTTGAAATCCCCCGTGACCAAAAGCTATGACGTTGAGCAGCTCAGGCAGGGCCATTGCCACATGGCAGGGAGCCAGGTATGTGATCAACAAGCCCATCTGCACTCCAAGGCCCCACTTCACAAGAAGGGACTCACATCCGGCTATCTGTGGAACAGTGGTCTCCGTCGGATCAAGACCTTCCTTTATAATAACCGCCGCCACCCCCCCCCGCCCCTGCCCTGAGCTCTCGGCTGATGGAATGCACGGAAGCCTGATGGGCACATATCTACGAGAGGAACTCCCCCTCATAGTGAGTCCAGGTGAGGTGCATCCATATTTCATAATCTGTCCCATTTCCTAGTGTAAAAGGATGGTTGTTTGTCCCCTTGTTCAGAAAGCATGTTCTCTCTTCTGAGGTAATTCAACATATGGCCAGGTCTTTGTTCTAAACCCCAGCAGAGAGCCTCGGTGGCCAATCAGGTACACAGATATGGCCACATGTCATGGACTACATTTCCCATAATGCAATCTCTCACTACATCTCCCACAATACAATCTCTTAAGGAGACAGCTCTTAATCCTTAAGGTAACTAACTCAACACAACTCGCTATCTGTAACAGCACATCACTATCTGTAACAGCACAGTTTACCACAACACTTTTCTACATCAACACCCGCCCCCCAAAAAAGCAGAATGCATATTCGCCAAGGGCTAGGAAAAGAGCCACAATTTTACAGTTTGCTTGAAGGCAGAAGAACTGAACGTCCTTCTGAATCTACAAAAGGGTGCCGATTCAGGGAGCAGGTACTGTGATAATAAGGCCATTTTCCCAGGTCATTGCTTGATCGGCAAGTCTCAAACTCTGTCTTACCACACAGGATAGGCAGAACTAGAAGAGACAGATGGTATCTTGTCCCATGTAGGGTTCTGTAGGTAATACCTGTAGCTTGGGAACTTACTAGTAACCAGTGCAGCTGATGAAACTGTGGTATTACATGGTTATCATAAGGCCTGACCAGCTCTGTTTTACTGACCAAGTACCAAAACACAAGTGATGGAAGGAGGACCTCATTAGCCACTTTACTGCATGGATTTGTACTGCTTACTTTGATGTCACTGATTAAGCCTAATATCCTCTTCTTGTCCCCAAAATATATCTGAGACAGCTAATTCCACAAGACTTAAAGTTGCTAGGGATGAGAAACAATCGAACTGTTGGCACTTGACAGAATTAGCCTGCAATACTGCATTCACACCACAGGACTACCCTGACTCTTAATGCTGTAAAATGCTTTTGGAAAAGCATGATAAGACACCACCTGGATTGCATGAGAGCTTTTGATAAAACCTCTGATACCGAAAACATATATACAAACCACCCAAACCACCTCCACACTCACACACAATGGTGCAGACCCCATCAAGTTTCTCCATGAACTTATCCATGAAGCTGACAATAATATAGAAGTGATTTGTCATACCTTCTGATCCCTTATTGACTATGTTGGTCAGAATGTTTGTGCAATCATGGTATCTGAACTGATAAAAGTTTAAAGTGCCAGCTAAAAGTTTGCCAGCATCTATTTGAATAAATGAGCAGTTGAACAAAATTAGGATGGACAACATCGTTACAATTATTAACCAAATGTATTGAACTTGGCTGCGTTTGCAGAAAACAAGCTGTCATCAGGTCCACACAAATCAAGATCATGTACCGTAGTTCAATTAAAGGTTGCAACATTGCACAATAAAATTATTCCTTGCATAGCCTGAAACATATATTTTCCTGTAAAGATTATACAATAAACACACTAGGCCCTCAAAACTCTACAGCTTTCATTTTCTATGCATTTATAAAATTCTCCTTTCTTCCTTTGGCCAAATGCTTTTGTTTCAGTTGCCTTCCAGGAGCTCCATGGGAGCTGAGCTCTATAGCACATTTTTCAGTGAATGCTCAGAAGCCACAGCACGCGCTGCAACTCTTGTTCATACGGCCGACAGTCGATCCAGTGTGAAATTCTAATTATGTACTCTCACCATATTGAATGGATTTTCATGGAACACATTTAGGTGACATTTCAGCTAAGATTTTTCTGGTATGATTACACCTATTCAGCATAGCTCTTAGATAGAGCATGCAGGGGTTCCCCCATAATGAGGTACTGTTGCCTTTGGAGGGGGCAGTAGTAATATAACAACTCTTATGTAAATTTATATATGGAAATTGGGATTGGGATTCAGGTTTGAACAATAATAATGCAATAACATTGTTCTGGCCGCATCTCCTATTGGTAAATCCGTAATTCTTCATATAATGATACATTCCAAATACTTGGCATGCAGATCAGACGTGCCTTTGTATTTTTAAAACATACTGATTTTTATAGCAACACTTCAATAAATGTATGGATACAGTGAGACAAGCGTGATACAGGTCTACATCAGCTAAGAAAGTTCCCCTTGACCCGTTTTACATTTCCAAATTAGGTTATTACTCAATCGTGTTCGATGTCCTCTCTTGCTCATTTTTGGAATACAGAAGTATTGCTGAAACAATGATTGACTAAAGATCAGCCTTCTTAATAGTTGAGCATTCTACAGAAGTTTAAGTACATTGACAAAGTATTGCAAATAAGCTGGTTTAAGGACATGACATGAGTGGACTGTCAGAGTCCATATAGATAAGGTAAGAAAAGAAAAGAATTGCAATTAGTATGTTCTTAACATTGTAATTAAACTTTCTCTTCTACACATAAATTTTAGATTCCAAGAAGAACAGCAAATTTACTCTTTGCAATGGAAACTTTTATGGATGAAAATTGAGTTCATGGAACTAATGAATTAATTAGGGAAACTAATCTAATAACATATACATCATTTTTCTTTATGTTAGCAGGATTCATGGTTTTTAAAGAACTGAATTAATACAATATTGAGCATAAATATAGGAAGTATTGATAATTGCTCTATTATTACATCAACAGCTGAAGAAATGGAGTCAGTGGATGAGTCCCTGTATAAATACAAAGGACTCTATTTCATAACTGACTTGTCCTCACCTGAAAATTTAGATTCATTGGATAGTTTTGAAATCCGAGATGATGATATATTCATAATCACATATCCTAAATCTGGTAAATTCAAAGTTGTCTTCCAAGAAAGAGTTAATCTTGTATCCAATGCTGTTATTCAGTTCTTCAGTATTTGGTTGTTGTGACTCTGTTGTGCTATAACCAGATTTTAAAATTTAGCATTTTATAAAAAGCTGGAAATGTAGGGAAAATAAAGCTGCTAAACCTCTACTTTCAACATTTATATTTTACTCTACATTGCTGGATGGGTGACCTTGGCTAATCTATCAATTTTAGTAGAGTTAGTTGTCTTTATGCATCTCTGAAACATTTGCTATTCTCCCTGATAGGAAGGTTGGGTTTACATAAGTTCAATGTTCTTCAAATTATAATGGGTGAATTAATTTAATTATTCCTTATTTGCAGGCACAATATGGACTCAGAATATTGTCAGCTTGATTCTTTATGAAGGTCACCGAGATGGAACTGAAAATATTAGCCTGATTGACCGAGCACCATGGCTGGAGTATAATATTTTCCATGTAGATTTACCTAGTCGCCCATCACCTCGTGTCATTTGTTCCCATCTGCCCTACTATTTGGTACCCAAAGGATTACAAAATAGAAGAGCAAAAGTAGGACATATTTTGTTAACTTGTCAGGTGGAGTGGGCTACTGTCTGAGTCCTGTTCTTTCAGTTCTGTATCTGAATGTTTTATTAACAAATAGACAAGGGTACACAAACAAATATTACATTGTTCCAATATGTTTGGTAGACAATAGCAAATTCTGAAGTGTGTGTGTGTGTGGGGGAACACAAACAAGCAGTGTTAAAATGAGAAGGTCATGCCCAGCAGAAATAGCTAAGAACCAAACGGAATATCCAACCCTTAAATTTATTTTTCCCAAGAGGAACTCCCAGATGGATAGTAACAGTTTGTGTTGCATGTCCAGTTGCTATCTTAACATATCTGGAGGATGTCAAGTTGAGGGATGCTATCTTTAGCCCTCAAAATCCCTTTCCACAATTTCCATTCTCAGTCACTCATGCCCTAGTCACCGGAAGCTTTAGTGGTGCAAAATGCAGACGCAAAGGGCATTGGTGTATTCTCTAGAACTGCATACATTACAGCTCTACTTTGGAAATTGTATTGGCTATTAGATTACTTCTAGATCCAATTCATGGTGCTGGTTTTGACCTTTAAATTCCTTCATGAATTAGGAACATGTTATTTGAAGGCCCACCCCTCCCCAGTTGCACCTATGCATCTCATCAAGTCCAGCAGGAAAGGCATGTCGGGGTCCCATCAGCTGGTGAGAGTTGTCAGGCAGGATTTAGGAGGAAAGCCTTTTCTTCTTTGGTTTCTGCCATATGGAAAATCATTCCAAGTCAACGTTGGCTCCAATCCTCCTGGTCTGCTGAAAGGCTGTCAAACATGGTTTTGCTAAGGAGTTTTGAGATCTCATGAGAGAATGGAGCATGTTAGATGAATGTCTGAGAGTTACTTGATGCAGTCTCTGTATGCTTTGCTTACAATTCCAACATTTCCGGTTCCATGGTGTTAATACATATATACATATTATTTACTTGTTATTCACATAATATTACCTCGTTACATTATCTTAATTTGAAGGGTATTACCCATAGTAATGCATGATTCTTTGTAGACATATATCCATATTATTCACATGTAATTTACATATTCTTACATCTATACTCAATTGCAGTTGGTACTACAGGTAGTACTGCTCATTTCTATATAACCATTATAAATTAATTATTGAATTAAACTTTAAGCTCTCTCGAGCTTCACTTTTGTTTTGTTTTCTCTAACCACTCATACCACATATCCCACACGCTATAATAATCCGTATCCTCTCTATCATTAATTTTAGTGTTACTTTGTTCATTGCGGCATTCCAATATTTTCCTGATTACGTGTTCTTCAGGTGATAACTTTTTTTCTTTCCAATACTGGGCGAAGGAGATTCTTGCAGCTGTTATTATGTGTGTAATTAAGTACCTCTTCTTTTTTGCATATTCTGTTTTCAGAATTCCCAGGAGAAATATTTTTGGTTCTAAATCAATAGTGTCTCCTGTTATTTCCGAGATCCATTTCCGTATCATCCTCCAGAATTTTTTCACTTGGGCACAGGTCCACCAACAATGATAGTAGGTGCCTTGCTGATGGCCAGATTTCCAGCAATTTGAACTCATATTGGGGTAAATTTTTGCGATCCTAGCTGGTGCTAAATGCCACCTGTAAATCATCTTGTATTGATTTTCCTTATAGGTTATCGCCCTAGTCATTTTAAGATTGCTGTTCCAAATTTGGTCCCATTCATTTAAATTTATGTTTTGCCCGATGTTTTTGGCCCATGCTATCATTGGGTCCTTAACCACCTCCTCTATCATATCATAATCCAACAGGTAATTGTATAATTTAGCTAGTATTTTATTATCAGTGCCCATCCAAATCTTATCGAATCCATTAGTGCCAGTCTCAATGCCAAATTCCTCCTTATCCTTTTTATACCTTGATTTTATTTGTGCATATGGCCACCAATCTATGGGAATGCCCTGTTCTTTCAATTCTTCCATTGTTTTAAGGTTCCCTCCCCCATCTAATATCTCTTTATATTTAACCGTTTTTCCCATTTCCAGCACATTGGGATATATTATCGCCTCCATCGTGGAGAGCCATCTCGGAACTTTTGTGTATTGTTTTCGTCTTATTTCTCCCCATGTCAGCATAAGTGTATCCCTTATTTTGTGTCTGTGGAAGTATTTTCTCGTTCTTTTCCCTATATCCCAGAGGTAAGCATGCCAGCCCTTCTGGAGATCATGCCCTTCCAAGGTCAGGAGTCTTTTATTTCCCAAGGTTGCCCACTCTTTTAACCATACTAGATTTGCTGCTTTATAATAGGTCTCCCATATTGGGAGTCCAAAACCTCCCCTATCTTTTTTGTCTTGCAAATTTCTAATCGCTATCCTTAGTTTCTTCCCCCCGCCCCAAGATGAATTTTCTGATAGTAGAATTAAGTTCCCGAAAAATTTTTTATCTAATTTAACTGGGGCAGTTTGAAATAGGTACAGTAACTTGGGTAATATGCTCATTTTTGTTGCAGCTATCCTGCCTAGGAGTGATATCTGAAGTTTTCCCCACTTTTCTAAGTCCTGTTTAATGTTCTTGATCAGGGGCACATAATTGTCTTCCTTAAGGGCCGAGCATTTTGCTGAGATCCATACTCCTAAATATTTTACCTTCTTGACTACTTGTAGCCCCATTGATACTTCCACTGCTTTCTTTTGGTCCTCAGTCATATTTTTGGTCAACAATTTAGTTTTGGATTTGTTTAGTTTGAACCCTGCTACATCTCCATACTTACCCAGCTCTTCCAGGATTTTAACACCTGTTTCCGATGGCTCCTCCATAATTAGTGCTACATCATCGGCAAATGCTTGGGTCTTATACGTCTCCTTCCTAATTGTCAATCCCTTGATTTGGTTATTATCTCTAATCCTTTTTAATAATACTTCTAGGGCTAGTATAAATAGAAGTGGTGACAGGGGGCACCCTTGTCTCACCCCCTTTCTAATTTGGAAAGTTTTTGTCAATTCTCCATTAAGTAAAATTTTTGCCCTTTGGTTTTCATAAATCGTGGTTATCGTATTTACAAAATTTGGTCCGAATCCCATCTTATTAATTTGTTGTTTCATGAACTCCCAATTCAGGTTATCAAACGCCTTCTGGGCATCTAAGAAGACCAGTACTACCTCTTTATCTGGGTGTTCCTCGTAATATTCAAGTATATCTAATACCATCCTTGTATTGCTTCTTATTTGTCTCCCTGGAAGGAATCCATTTTGATCACTATGTATTAAATTACTCAAAATTATCTTTAGTCTTCCTGCTATGATGCTCATGTAAATCTTATAATCCGTATTAAGGAGGGAAATTGGCCTGTAATTTTTTATCAATTTTAAGTCCGCTCCTTCTTTCTGGAGGAGTGTGATAAATGCCTCCCTCCACGATTCCGGTATTTTAGATTTTGTCAAGGCCTCATTATAAATTTCCAACAGTTTTGGTAGGAGGATTTCCTCTAAATCTGGATTTTTATATAGTTCCCCTGGGAATCCATCTGGGCCTGGTGATTTGTTCTTTTTGAGTTTGGATATTGCTGTCTTTAATTCTGTCATTGTAATTTCTTTGTTAAGCATTTCTTTCTCCTCCTCTCCGATCAGTGGAAGTTTTTCTTCCGACAAGTATTGGTCCACTTTGTCTTTGGGAATTTCTTCTTCTTTATATAAAGTAGCATAATATTCACGAACCATCTCTAATTTCTCCTCTTCTTTGTTTACAATGTGCCCCTCTGAATCTTCCAGCTGGTGAATGATCCCTTTCTCTTTTTCTTTTTTTAATCTGTAGGACAGCCATCTGCCCGGTTTGTTGGCGTTTTCAAAATAATATTGTTTAGTTTGTTTTATTTTATATGCCAGGTTTTCCTGATCAATAACATTTAGTCTATGACGGATAATCATCCAATTTCTTTAGCTGCCTCCTTATCCGGGTTTTGCTGCACTTCCTTCTCTGCATTACCTAGATCTTCCAACAATTGCTTCTGAATCTCTCTTTTTTCTTTGTTCTTATGTGCACCGTATGCTATTGCCAGGCCTCTCAGGAACGCCTTCATTGCATCCCATATTATTCCTCGATCAGTTGGTTCCTCAATGTGCGTCCCTCCCGAAGCTGCACACACGGTGGAAGAGGACGACCATCCCAGATAGGAGTGTACCGATCTTCGGTCAAGGGTATACGATAGCTGCGCTCCCCTGCTAGAACCTCCAAACAAGCTCAACCAACCAACTCTGTATGCTTTGCTGTCCATCTGTCTTTTTTCTTGGTTTTTCTTTTTTAAAAAAACTAGATATTATCATCTTTTTCTTACAGATTATTTATGTGCTTAGAAATCCAAAAGATGTCTTGGTTTCTAACTATCATTTTCACAAACTATCAGTCAAAATAGAAACCCCAAAAGACTTTGATATCTTCTTTGAGAAGTTTCTGGCTGGCAAAGGTAAGAAGAATTTGATCATGACAATGTTTTGTCCCTTTTTGTTTTGGATAAGAGATTATGAATATATTTCAATCCGCTTCCCACCATGAGCAAACAATCCATCCTTTCTCTTTACATAAGAAATGAATAATGATTCTGTATACACATGCAGTAAGTTGTGTAAACTCTACACAAATATGTTATAGTAGGATGGGTGGGTGCAGAAGAATGCAGGGCTCCTAGGACAACTATGACGTAAAAGTGAGTGGAAGAGGCAAGGGAAGCGTGAAGCGTTTTAAGGGTTGGAAAGAGAAAAGAGCTAACCAGAGTTAGTTCTTTGAATATTTGAAGAAGTATAGGGATCATAATGGAGTAAACTCAAGCATTAACAATGTAAAAAGAGCTGTGGTGGCGCAGTGGTTAGAATGCAGTACTGCAGGCTACATCTGTTGACTGCCGGCTGCCTTCAATTTGGCAGTTCGAATTTCACCAGACTCAAGGTTGACTCAGCCTTCCATCCTTTGGAGTTTGGTAAAATGAGGACCCAGATTGTTGGGGGCAATAGGCTGACTCTGTAAAACCACCTAGAGAGTAAAGCACTGTGAAGCAGTATATAAATCTAAGTGCTATTGTTATCCCTGAGACAGATGGTCAGTTGGATTATTGCATCAGAGACGAACAACTGAACTCAGCGACTTTGAAGACTGTTCTCATGTTTATGCTAAACTCATTTCTCTCATATCAGTGTTTTGCAGTTCATGGCTAGACCATGTTGAAGGTTGGTGCACTCATAAGGATGATTTCAATATTCTCTTCCTGTCTTACGAAGAAATGAAAAAGGTAAGATGTGTTTGTGTTGTGTCGTGCAATATGAACAACCATCAAGCACAGAAAGGTTTAGAAATGATGGGATGTGTAAATAACTTATTCCAACAAGGAGCAGTAGAGGTAACCACAGAGCCGATCTTAGTTATTTCTATGATCTCCTAGAGGACTGGTGAGATCTCTGAAGAAAAATAAGTTTCTGTCTCTTCAAAAGGATGGTGGAGGATCCAGGAAACTAGAATGCTGTCAGCTTGACAGACTTAAATAGATAAGGGAAATCCAATTAGCACAATGTACCTGTAATCAGCAAAATCTTGGCCAAAGTGTCTCATAACATTTTCCTGTTTGGGCTCAGAAGAGATTGGCTCAACTCAACTGCATTTTTAAGAGACCAAGGCATTTTTTTAGCCTCGCTTGGGAACTGTACAGCCTCTGATGTAGCCAATATTGCTACAAATATAAGAGTCTGAATCTGTGGCACATAAATATATTGTGAACTAAAAATATTTCTCAACAACCTGCCTCCCCAAAACATTTATTAGAAGTCCTAAAGCAGCATTTCTTTGTTTAATTCATTGATACAGCTTCTATGTACAGTTTTCATTTAAAAAAAATAGTTTATATCAAAGTAATTTTTTCAGTAGAAATTTGAAGTTTAATATGCAAGATATAAGAGGGATGCGGTGGCTCAGTGGCTAAGACGCTGAGCTTGTCGATCAAAAGGTTGGCAGTTCAGCTGTTCGAATCCCTAGTGCCGCGTAATGGGGTCAGCTCTCGTTACTTGTCCCAGCTTCTGCCAACCTACCAGTTCGGAAGCACGTAAAAAATGCAAGTAGAAAAATAGGGACCACCTATTGGGAAGGTAACAGCATCCATCGTTATGGATGAACTAAAATAAAATTCTATCAAATTGCAGGATCTGAGAAGTTCTGTACTGAAAATATGCGACTTCCTTGGAAGAGAACTAAATGGAAAGGAGGTAGATGATGTGGTGCATAAAGCTACATTTGATAACATGAAAGTGGATTCTAGAGCAAACTACACATTCTTGCCTCCTGATATCCTAGATTTCAGCAAAGGAAACTTTCTTCGCAAAGGTAGATGAGTAATAATTCATACTCTGGGGCTATGCTTTTGGAATGTGCCAGGCTTCATCTGAAACCAGGGTTACCACCAGGGGTGAAATGTAAAATCTGTCACTACCGGTTCTATGGGCGTGGTTTGGTGGGGGGAGGGGTAATGTGACTGGGTGGGCATGGGCAACTTTTTTTTTTTAACTTTACAAAGCATTTTTTCTAATGCTTTGAAAAGCCTCTCTGCCGATCAGGAACTCAGCTGGGATCGTCAGAGAGGCTGTTTAAAAAATGCCTCTTTGCCGATCAGGAACTCAGCTGGGATAGTCAGAGAGCCTCTTTTTTTACTTTTAAAGCTTTTTTTCATCAGAAGAGGTTGTAGAAAAAAATGCTTTTAAAAGTAAAAAAAAAAAAAAAGCCTCTGATGATCATGTGGCTCAGCTGGGCATGGTGGGGGGGGCAGGGTTTTTTGCTACCGGTTCTCCGAACCACCCGCTGCCATCGCTACTGGATCAGGCGATCCGGTCCAAACCGGGAGCATTTCACCCCTGGTTACCACTCTCATCTGAAAAGCACTTTCTAAAGTGGTATGGATATGTCCCAACAGCCTCTCTTTCTGCTGTCTCTCCATGATGTTGTCTTTGTCTTATGATCAGCCTACATTTGAGGCAGCCATAAGCCTTTCTTAGTTGTGCTAATGTTGAGGTGGTGTTCTCTTTTTCACCCTAACAAATTTCTGGTGTGGATATAATCCGACCTGTTTCAATTATCATTCTGTTGGTTGTACAGTCTAATGATCCTTTGGGAGGGGGATTGTTTTAGCTCCTACTGACCACTTTACGATGGTGGAGACACAACCTCTTCACAAGCCTAACCCTATAAAAACCGAAGTTTGAGGATTTTACTAGTCTCCTACTACTTGTCTTAACACAATGCCCAAGAGGAAGGACATTAGTAATAATATTAGAGAACCAATTGTTGCTGACTATCAGTGTAGATAGGATTATTAGGTCATTTCCAAACAATTGAAAGCACATCATTCTACGGTGAGGAAGATTATTCACAAGCGGAAAACATTCAAGAGCGCTGCCTATCTTCCTAAGAGTGGACATCCCAGCAAATTCACCCCAAGGTCAGACCATGCAATGCTCAGACAAATTGCAAAAAATCCAAGAGTTACATCTCAGCTAGCATGTTAAAGTTCATGATAGTTCAATTGGAAAATGACTGAACAAGTATGGTTTGTTTGGAAAGGTTGCCAGGAGAAGGTCTCTTCTCTCTAAAAAGAGCATTGCAGCACAGCTTTGATTTCCAAAGTTGCATCTGAACAAATCACAAGACTTCTGGAACGCTGTCCTTTGGACAGATGAGACCAAAGTGGAGATGTTTGGCCACAATACAAAGTGCCACGTTTGGTGAAAACCAAGCAGTAGATATCAGCACAAACATCTCATACCAACCTCATGCATGGTGGTGGGAGGGGGGATGATTTGGACTTGTTTTGCAGTCACAGGACCTGGACACCTTGCAGTCACTGAATTGACAATGAACTCCTCTGTATACCAAAGTATTCTAGAGTCACATGTGAAGCCAGCAATCTGACAGCTAAAGATTGGCCAACATTGGATCATGTAACAGGACAATGACCCCAAGCACACCAGCAAAACTACAACAGAATGGCTGAAAAGGAAAAGAATTAAGGTGTTGCAATGGTCCAGTCAAAGTCCAGACCGCAACCCGAATGAAATGCTGTAGTGGGACCTCAAGTGAACTGTACATAAACAAAGGCTCACAAACTTCATTTAACTGAAGCAATGTTGTAAAGAATAGTGGGCCAAAATTCTTCCAAAATGGAATCAAAATTCTTCCCAAACTATTGAAGCATACGTTTTACACACACAGCTTCTCCATTTTGGCTTTCTATTTATAAAATAAATCATGACATGGTGTAATGTCATGTTGTTCATCTGAGGTTATATTTACTTACTTTTAAGAACTGCTAAGACCAGGTTTTCAGTATTTTGTCACTCATAAAACTATGGAACTGAAACAGGGTATACTTCCTGTTTACATGACTCTATATAAATTCATACACAAACTTAGTCACAGAAAAATGTGTAAGAATGAACATTTTGGTGACAGGATGACATAAATAGCCTCTAGTTTAATTGAATGCAAAAACTGTTGACATATTTTTATCCATTGTTCCCCAGGCACTATTGGGGACTGGAAGAACCTCATGACTGTTGCCCAGAGTGAAAGGTTTGACCGTGTCTTTAAGGAGAGAGTGGAAAAGCTGCCCTTCAAGTTCTGCTGGGATATGCAGGAGGATCCCGACCCTATTTTTAGCTCAGTGCGGGAAAATTAATGTGTGATACACACCTTCAAATGGTTTGAATCAGAAATGACCTTTCAAGAAGAATCTTTATATCATCATGTAATGTTTAATTCTCAGCTCTGCAGGGATCATAGAACACAGCAACATTAAATTCTGCGTTATTATTAAATATTGTACGCAATTTTTTTATTTATTTAGATTTCCATAGCTACCTGACACTGGGTGTTATGCAGTGGTGAAATCTAAAATTTGTCACTACCGGTTCTGTGGGCGTGGCTTGGGGGGGTAATGTGACTGGGTGGGCGTGGGCAATTTTTTTTTAAAAAAAAACTTTTAAAACCATTTGTTTTACAACCTCTTTGGCGAAGAGGTTATAAAAAAATGCTTTCAAAAGGCTCTGACGGTCCCAGCTGAGTTGCCTGATCGGCAGAGACTTTTTTTCTTTTAAATGCCTCTGCCGATCAAGCAACTCAGCTTGGATCGTCAGAGGCATTTAAAAGAAAAAAACCCTTTAAATGCCTCTGACGATCCAAGCTGAGTTGCCCGATCATTAAGAAGCATTTAAAAGAAAAAAAGGATATTTTCTTTTAAAAGCCTTTGATGTTCCCAGTTGAGCCGCGCGATCATCAGAGGCTTTTTTCTTTTTACTTTGAAAAGCATTTTTTTGGCCAAAGAGGTTGTAGGAAAAATGCTTTTAAAAGTAAAAAAAAAAAAAAAAAAAAAAAAGCCTCTAATGATTGTGCGGCTCAGCTGGGCATTGGGGGAGGGGGGGCAGGGATTTTTGCTACCGGTTCTCCGATCCACCTGCTGCCATCGCTATCGGATCGGGCGATCCAGCATTTCATCCCAGGTATTATGTCTCATTAGATTATATTATTATTTAAACAAGTTCATATAGCCACCCAGCTCATATATGGTGCCTCCAGGTGGCTTCCAACGTTAAAGCAGTGTAAAACCTATATTTCCTTCACCCACCCCAGCAACAGTGACCACACAGTTACACCATGATTGGCTCCTTATCAGTTAGGGGCTCCCTGGGCTCTCTGACAAAATCATGTCTTCAGAACCTTCCAGGAAAGTAAAGAGGTGGGGCCAATCTTATCTCCAGGGTATAATATTCCAAAGGGAGGAAATCACCACAGAGAAGGCCCTTTTCCTCGGTCCCACAACATGCACCTCCCTAATAGATGGGACCTGCAACTTACCTTGTCTTCCAACACTGGTGGGCTAGGGTAACAGCCTTCTTCTAAAATAAGCATCCTATCATAATTCTGTAATCTTCAAGGTGATGCCAAGAGCGGTATGTTCCAAATAAAACAGAAGAAAGCCAATTTCTCTTCAGAACTCTCCTCCTACAATCAACTACTGTGATTTATAATTGAAGGGGGGGAAGCATTACCTTCAAAACAACTATCTTTATCCAAACCCTTAGTACAACAATGCAGTTAATTTGAGAAGAGCGTTTTCTGCTTTCCCAGAAAGGCCATTTTCTGCAGGAATACACAAGAGACACAAATCTCAAATGTTAAAGTCTGTTTATTACCTGGGCTGAAAGCCACCAGAAAAGAAGTCACTTGGTCTTAAAATACTTCACCCTTTTCTTTGAAGAAAAAGATATCCAAATCACACGTGCATCTTTCTGGCTACAAGTGTCCAACCAAACCTATGGATCAAAGTAGCTAGTAGAGGAATTTCAGATCTAGTCACTATCTAGATGAACAGGGTTATAGTCTGGATCGTCCTCATCATCTTCCAACTCCAAGTCATCCATTTCCTGGAACAATGATTCGTCTACTTCCACATTGTTTCCACCTGGGAGTGGGGGAAGAAGAAGGAAGATAAAGATGACATTTTATAGAGACAAAGGAGATGAATTCCAAACTGAGTGCTTGTAATGATCATTTAGCATTTAGCTAAAAAAACTGATCCAGCATGCAAAGGGGCCATAATTTCCAAAGAAGACAGAAACCACACAGTGGGCGATCTATACCTACACAATTAACTCAAGCAAATGGGAGTGAGCTTACATTGTGTTCTTTCATGTGATATGTAATAAATTTAGAAGGCATACTGTACAGGGCTCTGAGGTTAAGGAGATGTATTGATACTTGCCATTTCATCATTTTGAATTAGTAACATAAAAAACAAAAGTCATTACTTTTTAAAAAAAAAATGGAGTATAATTTTCTGCAAGCCAAAAATACTTAATGCAGTAGAGGAAGAAAAAAATTCCACTGTCTTCCTCGAATTGCTTTTCAAACTGCTTATGCTATGGATCCTCTGAGAAGTCTCTTGCAGTTAAAAAACATTTTGGGAAAAAGAGTGGATATATTGCTAGTTTGAGTCTGGGTCAGGGCTGTCAAATTCCTGGCCCGCGGGTCAGATGCGTCATGCTCTGGCCACACCCACGCCCAGTTTAGCCAAGTGGAAAAAAGTCCCGCTATGTCTCATGACACCACCATGATACTGTGAGTTTGACATCCCTGGTCTGAGTTAACCACATAGGATCAATGATATACATCTCTGTACAATGAAGAAAAAGATAACAGTGGAGTAATAGTGACACCTTCTGTCTTCCATGATACATGCTGAGTTAATTTTGTCCCTTATTTATCAAGCTTGAAGTTTATGCTGGAGGAAAAACACCTACACCTAGGCACGTAGGCGATAATGGTGTAATGCCAAAGGTGTTTCTGTGTGTATGCCTTCGAGTCAACTGCTTGGACTAGTCCTTGCAGTTTTCTTGGCCAGATTTTTGTAAGTTATTTGCCTTCATGGCAAATAACCTATAAAACATTTTTTAAAGCAAAACTGCTTGTGATATCAGCAAAATGGAATCCTATAAAGGACCAGGAATATTTCAGGTGTTAAAATTGGCATTTTTCAGACATACCTTCAGTTTAAGCCAGATCTAAAGTTATTTGATTTCAGCTGATACTTAGCATTTTATATCCACATAAGCAGACTTGCTTGCTCAATTAGCTTTTTCCTTTCTGCTAGAAGCTATTGTCACATTAAGAGGGCAGATACAGATGTAAGAATATAATTTGGTTAAAGGGATAGCTCCCAGTTTTTACATTACCTTGAACCAGAAGTAATTGCTTATCTCCAAAAGCATGTAAGTAGCTTATTCCTCTTTATTAGTACTGGAGGCAAAATTTAGCCAATTGATATGAAAATACCAATATATTTAGTGGTAAGTGCCAGTATATTTAGTAGTAAATAGCTTTTATCATTAAAATCATATTCTATAGAAATTAAAGTAGAAATAATGGAAGGTTACCATCTTCTAAGAACTGAATATCAGATGTATCAAGGTTATGATCTGTCTCAAACAGCTGCTTTCCTATTAAAAAATAAAAGAAGTACAGTAAGTTGATTTGGATAGAGGTATAACAAACACATACACACACACACACACACACACACACTTTAGATTACAACTTTGGAGATAAACCTATGACGGAGCAGAAGAATGAAAATGCACCAGAAATATCAGGAACTACAGTACTTTTGCGTTTGAAGTCTGAAGAGTGATGACTAGATAATTTCCACTGCTAGATAATGTGGGGTGCCATGATTAAATTGAATTATCTTAAAACAAATGTAACATATTACACCTAAGACATCACCCTTAGTTACAATATGGGCTTGGTCTAGATTTGTACATTCAACCATTATTTGCATAGGCCTTCTCCACTCCCTTACCCCAACCTTACCCCAATATGTTTTTCTGCATACTATATGAGAGCAAATTAGGTTTTCTTTCTGTGTTTAATACAATTGTAAACAAAGACAAAAATCCTAGCTTACTTAGAAGTTATAATTTGGAAATTACAGTGCCCCTATAGAAAAGAAGACCCCTACTGAGTTTGATAAACTTTATCTTTTATAGAACTAGGGTATATGATATTAACATGTACAATTCAAGCATGCAGTTTCATATATAGTGTTACTTTGGTACTCAACTACTTTGAAACTCACAGAATTTGGTACTCAACACATTTTGACATGAAAATTTTGTCCCAGTACTCATTTGTTTGATACTCAATGCACAAGCTAGAACTTATCAATGTCGGCTGCCTTGTGACTCACTACATTGTTCCTTACAGGAAAAAATTGTTTGGGACTCATCGTTTTTCATAACTCATCGTGCTCCCAGAACCAATTAATAATGAGTGCTGAGGTACCATTGTATTTCTTTGCATCTCCTGTAAAAATATTCAAACATTTATCAATGTCAACTGTTTAACTTCTGTATTATTGTGGATAATTTGGACTGCTTTCTTGAACACTGATATTTTTTCACCACTCTGTGTTGCATGACTAACCAATTTGATATGGCTTGTGTGGATTTCATACGTCAAATGAAGAAAAAAAAAAATCCTCCAGCAATCCAAGACCAGGCACATGGCTTATATAAGACAGTCTATTAGAAGGCCAGATCCTGAAGATGAAACTCAAATACTTTGGCCACCTAATGAGAAAGAAGGACTCACTGGAGAAGAGCCTAATGCTGGGAAAGATTGAGGGCAAAAGAAGAATGGGTTGACAGAGACTGAGGTGACTGGATGGAGTCACTGAAGCAGTAGGCGTGAGCTTAAATGGACTGCAGAGGATGGTAGAGGACAGGAAGGCCTGGAGGAACGTTGTCCATGGGGTCGCAATGGGTCAGACACAACTTTGCAACTAACAACATTATATCCCACCTGTTAATTTATTTTTGCCGCACTGTTCTTCTTCTTTCATCTTTTTTCTTCTAATTTCTAAGAGCTCCAAATCAAATGTTGCCTTCCAGCGTAGAAAGCTTTCAATAGTGACTGGGGTGCCATGAAAACATTGCTACACAAATGGAGAAGAATAAGATAAAGTTCCAAAACATGTAACAAAGGACAATACCAGCCTAATAATATCGCCAGCTTTCCAGCTCTGATATGCCAAACCTATTCTCACATAAACAGCTAGGCAACAGAGGCAACTATATATCCAGCCAGAACTGCTCTGAAACAGTTCTGTGGACAGTACCAACAACAATTGCTTTGAGATTCTTTAATGGGAAGTGGGAAGTGGCATACAAAGATTAAAAGCCGTTATTGTCTTTGTTGTCGTCATCGTCATCACCATCATGGCTATAGAATTCAAAATAAAATAAATAAATAGCACAACAAA